GAAGATAGGTGGGTAAACTTACCCCACATCCATAACCACCTCGATGGGCACGCGGTTGCCGTGACGGAATCGTACGTGTATGTGGCTGGCTCCATGGAACCAGGGTTTGCCAAGACTGTAGAAAGGTACAATCCAAACAGGAATATCTGGGAGCAAGTTTCCAACCTGCTAACCAGAAAGCATTCCTTTGGCCTTACTGAAGTCAGAGGCAGCTTGTACAGTATCGGTGGGCATGGCAATTTCAGCCCTGGCTTTAAAGATGTGGCCGTTTATAACCCTGAGCAGGACAAATGGCTTAACCTGGAGTCAGCCCCCAAGATCCTTCGGGATGTCAAAGCTGTTTCTGTAGAAGACCGTTTCATTTATGTCGCTGCTCGAACCCCGGTTGACAGGGATAGTGAAGATGGGCTGAGGGCAGTCATTATCAGATACGATGCTGACACGAGGCAGTGGCAGGACGTGGAGTCCCTGCCTCTCATTGATAACTATTGCTCTTTTCAGATGTCTGTGGCTAACACGAACTTTTACCACACAGCATCGTGCTGCCCCAAGAGTTACCCTATAGATAATGAGGAGGCCAAGGTAAAGATCTCTGGCAGAGCCTCAGATGAAATACTTGAAAGCTTACCCCCAGAGGTGCTTAGCATTGAAGGAGCAGCTATTTGTTATTATAAAGATGATGTTTTTATCATTGGGGGGTGGAAAAACAGCGATGATATTGACAAGCAGTACAGGAAGGAGGCGTACCGTTACTGTGCGGAGAGAAAGCGCTGGATGCTTTTGCCTCCTATGCCTCAGCCTCGGTGCAGAGCAACAGCCTGCCACGTGAGGATTCCCTTCAGGTGCTTGCAGGGCACGCAGAGATACCCTATGCCACAAAATCTCATGTGGCAAAAGGACAGAATAAGGCAAATGCAGGAAAGGCAGATGCAGGAAATACACCGGCACTCCCTGAGCTTGCGGAGGATCCCCCGCTCGCAGATAGAGTGCTAGCTCATGGAGCATCACTCCTGATGAGCCTAGGAAGTGGTGTCTTGTTAGGCTGGAGATGTCTTTATAAGACATGAGGGTGTTGGTTTGGTTTGATGCATAAAACCAGCATCTTTTGTGTATTGAGTATTAAGAAGCTCAGAAATGGAGGATGGATGGGAATTGAGGAGCTATGTGAATCCAACAGTATTACTCAGTGGTGCCCAGGGAGAAGCCGTGGCCTGTATCGGGCTGTGAGGTATCTCTGGGAACATTATGTTTGTTACTTCTCTCTTGGGGTCTTTGTTTTCAAGGACTTCTGTGGAGTTGGGCTCCAACAGTTGCATTTTGAAAATCAAAGATCCTTATTGTAATAATTCAGTGGTTACATTTGTATGTGCTTGAAAGCACCTCTCCTCTTTTATTTGCACTTATCTATCGACATTCCTTTGAGTCTCTCCTCCTCAGTGACTAAACTTCACATGCAGTTCATGTTCGTGTACTTCGCTTTCCCACGCTGGAGGCAAGTGCAATAGTTATGTCTATATATGAAAACAAAAGCACAATCTTTCCTTGCCAACTTACTGCAGGATGTTTCTATGTGTATTCAATATTTTGTATTTGTCTGTTGTAGAGAGGCTGCAGCGTTTGCTTGTGAATGGATGGTTGGTAGAACACAAGACCCTTGCTAGAGCAGAGAACTTGAGGCAGTAAAGAAGATGCTTTGTCTTTGACAGCTTCGTTAGGAACTGGGGTCAACATCAGCCTGAGAAAAGGAGTGAAAACCACCAAAGTACCACCCGCCAGCACGGACTGGTTCCTGCTGTCAGTGTGGAGTAGTGAGAATGAGGGTGTTTCACAGTAACGGCCTGAAACCGGAGCTGGTTGTAGATCCTTCCTCGCGTGTTGCACACCTTTTAAGCCCAATGAAAAGGTGATTAGAAGAACCCCCGTGAGCCTGTTTCCAGCCTGTCTGTGACAATCAGAACTCTTTGCCTTCGGTACCCTGTCCCTCGTGCTGCAGGGTCCATCACAAATCCATACTTGGTGTCCTCTTGAAGCGAGACACTTGAGTTTTCATAGTGTCTCAACAGGTGAATTTCCCCACTTAGCGTGGTGGGAAGATTGAAGCTGATTTCAATACCTTTCGGTGTGCTGAGGGGGTTTTACATAAACCAGTGCCCTGACTGGCTCTGGTTCGCTTCCTGCTGGGCTCCTAAGGAACAGAAATGGAAGATTTCCTTCAGAGTAAACGGTTCCTGTCCCACCGAACACTCCTCCTCCCTGATCCCAAGAGCTCCAGGACGGTTGAGGTTACTGGCAGATTGAATGCATCCTTCCTCCCTTCATTTCTTCCCCATCCTTCCCTTCGTTTGAATGTTCCAGGCGTTCACATGCAGCTAACTCAGGATCTTAGGGAAGGGAAAGGGAGGAGTAAGCAGGGTGTTCCAGAATTTGTCTAGACAAACCTTGTTGGAGAATGTATTTACTGTCTTTGGTTCTTAGCATGGTTTTCTGGTGGTTTTGATGGGGGCAACTTCTTTGCAAAAGAACTTCTAAACAGTTTGGCTTTTTGTTTGTTTTGTTTTAACTGTTTAGCTTTCTGAGCTGATACTTCCCATTTCCCAATTCAGCACCAACCTAGATCAGAGCTGAAACACTGGGTAAGTCTTTCAACCATGCAGTGTGTCAAGGTTTCTCTGATGTGTACAACCCTTTCTGCTCTGCTTTGCAGTTGCCACTTTGGAGATCAGTAACTTGTCTTTTTGTAAGAGAAGAATCTAGCCTTGGTTTAAAAAAAAGGAAGTTGAAAATCCTAACAGTTTGTCTCAATTTACTCACCTGTAGTAACTCTGTTGTATTTTCTTTGCCTGTCGGTTAGGGCAGATGAGATTGTATGATGCTGGCCTAAGAGAACAAGTAGTAACGCTTGCTCAGGTTTAAGGCTGATGTCCAGAAGCGACTGTTACCAAATCAGCCTGTGAGCAAGGGCTTACTCAGTGGAGTTTGGCCCATGAGCTCTTGCGGGTTTGGCTTGAGTAGTTTAAGAACTGGAGCTGAATCCACTGATTTAACTTTAATTTGTGGGAGCTGATTTCAAGATATTTCACCAGACATTGCACATAAAAAATGGAGAAGAGGTTTTGTGCTCTACCCGCTGACTTGGCTGTAGGGGTTTGACAAGCAGCTGTAGGATGGTGTATATCAGCCCAGCCCAGCTCTGTCAAAGCCCTCTTGTCGTCTGCCAATTAATATGGACAATATATAGGGAGAAATCCCAAGGTTATTTCTGGTGGAAGATGAACTGACTAGTTTAACATGTGGCAGCATGCGACCAAATTCGATACAAGAACAAACTTACTGCAGTCATTCTTTTCCTAAGCAAAACTGATACTGCACTTACCATGAGAACTTTTGGCTAACACACAGGCTCCATAGTTTACTAAAAACATTCCACTCCAAGATAGTGTCCAAACAGCTTTAGCATCCAGAGCACGGGAATGCCAGCCGTGATTCCATCCGTGATGCACTGTACCCGTGTGCTGTGTCTGCATGGTGAGTGAGGGGCACAGCTGCACTTGCTCAAACTCTTGCTATGCTGGTTCTATGGATTTTTAAAGTCATTGGGTTTGTTTTGGGGTCTTTTAACCTTGACTTTAAATGGACCAATTGCATTGCACATGGGTTTTAACTGACAACTCTAACTACCCGTTGTATCACATGTAGGTGTTTGGAAGAGCTGCATTATTGGCTCTGTGTTGTAGCCCACTAACCTGTGAGGCTCACAGCAACTCCCCTGACTGCCGTAGCTTGCTGGCTGTCAATAAAATGATCCTAGAAGCAGAAGCCTGGAGATTCTTTCAGTGTGTCTATAGTGGCCAGTTCCATGTCAGCAAGATCCTAGTGTGTATGCAGTAAGTATTGGAAGGCCAACTGTTGGCTTTACTAATGTAAAAGAGCACTGGGAGGAGTTTTCCCTCTTCCTCATGACAATCACACTCCTCCACCTGTACTGAGTATGTGCCACAAAATGCATGTTTCATGTCCTGTCTTACTGCTCAGAGCATCAGTGGAGTAGGACACATCCTGCCTCACACTCGGCAGTCAGTGTAGTAATTTCTAGGTGCCACGTGTGTACATAGTATTTTCTAACTACCTGAATACTCTGTTAGTACGCTGGGTTTGTAATGAAGACATGCCAACTTTTTAGCATGCATTATGAATAGCCATGCCAAGCATTCTGCAGTACTATTTTCAACAGCATCTTTCTCCATCACAGTCAATGTTAACATGAGAGCTATTGGCTCAACTTGTGTGTCAGGGAATCCACTGCTCTGTACTGACAAACTGAGTCACAAAGCATTGCAACTGTTTGGGTTCTGTTTAACACAACCTAGTTAACAGTACGTTGTAACTCTCAGTGGGCTTAAAAAAGCAAGCTTCAAGTAAGTGGTGTATGGCTTAGATTTATTGCCAGCTGTGTCCACGTTATGCAGGGTATACATCATATCTCCACTTGTCAGTCCTGAAGTGGAAGTCTGCTAAAACAGGTGCTCTTGAGGATCTAATCCTGTTACTAACATGAATGTAAAGTGTGGAACTAACGAGGTGGTTGAAGACCATTAATAGTCAGATGCTCCTCATAGGTGCGTGTCACTGTGGATCACGGCAGCGGTGCTCTCCTGTGTTAATGTAGACTTCCATGAGTGCCTGGGGAGGAGCATGCCTGTACTGGCTTCCAGTAAGGTAACGTAGTGTGTGTGCATCTAGGTTTGAAACATACCCTACTGTCACGTTCTTTACCTTGAATACACTGTACTAAAGTTCACTGTAAGAGGTGGATTAATGAAAATAAACCTTTTATTTCTTTAGCATCCTTTGTTGTACCTTTCATTGTCTCAGTGGCTGCAGAGGCCGGGGCCGATGCGCACGCTTTGTGGTACCATAGAATGAAAGTTGTAAACGTTAATTCTTCTTTTGGCCTTTATGATTTTATTGATTTGTTATAGAACAGAAGTCAATACATTCACTTGCTGCTCAGAGGGCTTTATTCGCTGCATGGAGCTGTTTATACAGGCAGGCTGCTGGTTGAAGAAGTGAACCTGACTTCATTTGAAGAGTTGTCCGCGATGCTGTCTCGCTTGGCAACGTAGTCCCTGATGTTGGAGAGGCCTGGCACCACGCAGCAGCTCAGGGCGCTGCGGTATATGCTCATGTCCTGGATGTCGTACCACTCGTTGGTGTTTTCATCGTAGCACTCGGCGTTGAAAGTCGTTGTAAAGCCGTTGAAGCCCCCAACCACGTACAAGAAGTCGTCCACCACCTCGATGCCGAAGTTGCTGCGAGGGTTGAACATGGGGGGGACCGCGTGCCACGTGTTGTTGATGGGGTTGTACGCTTCCACGCTGCGGAGCCGGTTCACTCCGTCGAATCCTCCTACCTGTGAATGCCAAAGGCACGGAGTTGAACCTGGCTCTTCCTCACCTGCTCGGCCAGCTGGGTCATTACATAGAGTTACAGAATCACAGAGTAGTTTGGGGTGGAAAGGACCTTAAAATCATCCAGTTCCAGCCCCCTGCCATGGACAAGGACACCTCACATATGTTGCCCAAGGCTCTGTCCAACCTGGCCTTGAACACTGCCAGGGGTGGAGCATTCACCACTTCTGTGGGTAACCCATTCCAGTGCCTCAGCACCCTCACAAGGAAGAACTCCTTCCTGCACAAGGGGAAGTGGCCGTGCCTCGCTGAGCTCAGTTGAGCATTGCTGAGAGCGTGGCATCTCAAAACGTGTGCTCATTGCAGGCTGCTCCCTTGTTCCTCCTGAAACATCCAAAAGTATTTTGTGCAACTGTCAGATTTCACACTTTACAGGGTTTAAATGCAGTGTATGGCTGGGGTGAATGGAACCAAGCGAGGCCTCTGTGCTGCTGAACCTGTTGGCAGCAGCAAAAAATCATTGCTTTGCTGCAGGATGCTTAAAAATAGTCTGTACATTTCTCAGAACCAGAAGCGTGCAGGTGATGATGTTCTCAGGAGGCTCCAATGAGTTCAGACTGAAATGGGGGAAGTTTAGATTGGAGATAAGGCAGAAGCTCTTCCCTGTGAGGATGCTGAGGTGCTGGCACAGGGTGCCCAGAGAAGCTGTGGCTGCCCCATCCCTGGCAGTGTTCAAGGCCAGGTTGGACACAGGGGCTTGGAGCAAGCTGCTCCAGTGGAAGGGGTCCCTGCCCATGGCAGGGGTTGGAACTGGAGGAGCTTTAAGGTCCCTTCCAACCCAACCCTTTCCATGATTCTATTCCTTCCTTCCCTACATCTCACTTTAAAGCAGAATGCCAGCACTGAAGTCCAGGAGATGCAGATCAGCAAAGGGGGAGCACTACACGTGCTGGGGGCTGCGAGGACAGAGGCACCGGGCTCCCTTACCGCATACACCTCGTTCCGGTACGCGATGACTCCTACTCCGCTTCTTCTGCTTCTCATGGGCGCTATGAAGGTCCACTGCTCTGTGCTGGCGTCGTACACTTCAGCAGTGATCAGGCACTCGTTGCCGTTGAACCCACCGCATATGTACACCTGAGCAGGGGAGGAAGGCGCAGTGTGAGCAGGGCAGTTGCTCTCCTGGTAGGAGGACGTGAAGGGAAAACGAGTGACGTGGCTGGATGGGGTTTTTAGGGGGAGGTTGCTTTGGTTTTCAATGGGAATGGTCCTGGCATCCTGGCTTTGAAGGAGTACAAGCACATTGTGTTCTTCAGGCCAGCAGGATTTAGACCCTGTGTTTCCTCAACTGCATGAGGCAGGCCCTCTGGCAGGTTAAAGCCATTCCCCTTGGCCTGTCCCTACAGGTCCTGTCCCAAGCCCCTCTCCAGCTTTCCTGCAGCCCCTTCAGGCACTGGAGCTGCTCTCAGGTCTCCCCTTCAGGAGCCTTCTCTTGTCCAGGCTGCCCCAGCCCAGCTCTCTCAGCCTGGCTCCAGAGCAGAGCTGCTCCAGCCCCCGCAGCATCCCCATGGCCTCCTCTGCACTCACTCCAGCAGCTCCATATCCCTCTTGTGCTGGATCAGGGCTGCAGGGGGGGTCTCCCAGAGCACAGCAGAGGGAGAGAATCCCCTCCTTGAGCTGCTGCTCACCAAGGGGCTCTGGCTCAAGTGCTCACTGTTGGGCCATGTGAAAGGACAGGCCGTGTGTGTGATGCTGCGCACGTGCTCGGTTCCTCATCCCGCTCCGCTCACCCCAACCCGACCCGCTCCCCGCTAACGTGCCCGTTACCTTCCCATGCAGCGTGGTGGCACTGGCGTCGCTCCTCTGCGCCCGCATGGGGGTGATCAGCGTCCACTGGTTCGTCTCGGGCTCGTAGCGCTCGGCCGTGTTGAGGCGCGTGTACCCGTCGAACCCGCCCATGGCGTAGATGAAGCCGTCGAGGACGGTGACGCTGACGTAGCAGCGGCGCGAGTGCATGGGCGCGACCTGGTGCCACGTCTTCCGCAGGGGGTCGAACCTCCTGACGTTGTTGAAGTAATCCACGCTGTCGAAGCCGCCCACGACGTAGACGAAGCCTTTCAAATAGGCCGTGCCGTGGTAGGCCACCGGGCTCTCCCGCTCGCTCGTCACGTTCATCCACTTGTCCGCCCGCACGTCGTACGTCTCCATGGCGTTGGTGGGGCTGCCCCCGCTCCAGCCCCCGATGGCGAACAGGACGGCGTAGGGCAGGCGAGGCCGGCTGAGCGGGTTGGCGAAGTCCATGTAAGGGGGCCCGTGCATGCTGAGGTGGTACATCTCCGTCAGCGTGTTGATGATGAGGCCTTTGCAGTCCTCGCTTTCCACCACGTACTCCTGTGTCTTGACGTCGTTCATGAAGAATTCCGCTTGCATCAGCGCCAGCCGAACCTGGAAAGCACAGAAAGGGGGGGTTAGGGGCGGCATCCCCGTGGGGGAGAGCCGCAGCGCTCAATGGTTTTGCTGTAAGAGAACCTGAGAACTCAATGTGTCGCTTATAGCTAGTCTGGAAAGGGGGGTGCAAGGGTAAATCGCTTGATTTCATGGCACGGAGCCTGCTGCTGCTTTGGCACGGGGCTTTCCTCTTCGCAGACTCAAACTGCCCTAATGCCTGCTGCTGTTTGCGTGGCTCGTGCACAGACAGAGGCTCTGCGTGTGCAGAGATAACGTCCCTTGTGAACTTTGGTCCCTCCTGGCTGCGACAAGCAGCTGAACGCGAGGAAACGGGCACGTGGGAGCTCAGCCCCGAGCTCAGCGCCAGGGTCTTCAAGCAGAGCGGCTGTGGCCCTGCAGAGCCTGCGTCAGCACCAACCTTGCTCAGCAGCTTGGCAATGTGGTGCCGCCGGTTCGGGGGGTCGTGGTCAATCCACTTCACGATAGCCTTGAACACGGCATCCTCCTCCCTCGCGTTGAGCTCGTCCTTCTCAATGATGTTATCCAGCTCGCTGACGGAGAGCTCGAGGAACTCTGCAGAGACCTTGGTGATGTCCTCGAAGTGATGGAGGATGAACAGGAAGGCTGCTTCCTGCAGCTCGGGGCAGTAGTAGTGTTCTGTGAGCCTGTAGATGCCGATGCAGTTCTCAAAGCAGAGCTGGGACTTTAGGAACTCGCAGCACAGCCGGATGATGCCCATGATGTTGAGCTGGTCTGCGGCGACGAGCAGGCTTTCCACGTTCTCCATGGTGACCTGAACGGTCCGGGTGTAGGCGTAATCGATAATGAGCTTCATCATTTCGGGTGAAATCCCGGGGATTTTGTACACCGTCTTCTCGGCCCTGTTCCAGCTGCTGGTGAACAAAGCCCTGGAAAAAAACAAGCAGTGCTGGAGGCAAAACCAGCTTTGCTGGGTTAAACCCTGCCCGTTATCCCCTGGGCACCCATTTGGGTACCAGCAGTAGCCATGCTGGGAGGCCGTGTGGTTTTATCCATGTTTCATTAGTGATGGAAGCACGACCCAGGCTAGGAAATGCCACCCATCCCCTCTGACCAACCTGAAATAGTGGCTGCAGCTGCAGAGGATGTTCTTGTGGGCATTAAATTCGATCCCATCCACGCTGATGATCACATCACAGAGTTTCCCCTCGAGACGAAGTTCATTGAAGATGGTGCAAGCCATAGCACTCATCTTCCTCTCCATGTGTGAGGGTGAGCATTTGGTGGACACCAACCTGTCTCCCATGGTGAAGCCTGCAGCCGTGGGAGGTGCCTCTCTCAGGGTCTTTATCTTTGTCCCTCCAACATCACCCCTGCCCGGTGGTTCTAGAACATGCTCCATGATGAGGTCACAAACTCAGGGAACCAGGGCAGCAGTGCCTGGGAACAGGGTCCTCCCCCCAGCCCCTGATCCATGGTTGCCCCATAGCCCAGGCTGTGCTGGACCAGGCCCCATTGATGGCTGAGGAAGAAGGGCTTCAAGATTCCCCTGCAGCTCCTTCATGCCATCAGCACTGGTATAAAGCTCCCCAGGTGCAGGCACCCATGGCTGCTGCAGTGCCCCTGAACCAGCTCGTGCAGGAGGAAGCTGGGGCCCAGGTTAGCTCATGTCAGTGATGGAGCCACAAGTGCTGAGTCTGCTGCTACCTTTGGACAGGTGGAAAGAGCCGCCTGGGGCTGAGGAGGGCATGTGGGGCACAGGGATCCCCATCCTGCTGTAGCTCATTGCTGGCTGCTTGTCATCGTGTCTGGGTGTACCAGGAAACAGCTCTGGGAGGGAAATGGATGCCCCATCCCTGGCAGTGCTCAAGGCCAGGTTGGACAAAGGGACTTGGAGCAAGCTGCTCCAGTGGAAGGGGTCCCTGCCCGTGGCAGGGGTTGGAGCTGGATGGGGTTTAAGCTCCCTTCAACCCAGCCCATCCCGGGGTCCCGCGTTCCTGCCGGTGCGGGCTCTGAATCCGACCCGTGCGTGTCTCGGTGCCCCGGGCCTCGCTGGGGTTTTCGCTCCTCCTCTCTTGCCCCGTCCTGCCCCGCACCGCCCTGCGGGGGAAGCGCAGCCTCGGGCACCGGCCCCGCCGCGCCCCCAGCGGCTCCAGGCGGCCCCGCACGCTCCGGCCCCAGCCCCGGCTCCGGCTCCGGCTCCTCCCCGCGGTTGCGCGGCCCCGGCGCTGCTCGGCCCTGCCCGGAGCGCAGCGATGGTGAGCGCGGGGCTGCGGGAGCGGGGCCCGGCGGGGGCTGGAGGGCACCGCAGCCCCGGGAGCCGCGCTGGGGCCCGGACACCGCAGCGCGGTCTCTGCCCGCAGGTGCCCGAGCTGGAGAACGCCACGGTCCTCATCCGGCACCCGGAGCGTGCGGCCGGGATCATCCGGTCCCTCAAGGAGCAGGGGGCGAGCAAACTGCAGGTACCGGTCCCGGGGGTGGGGGGCGCGGTGAGGGGTTGGGGTGCTCCGTGCCCAACCCGGTGCCGGGAGCGCCGTCCCCACGCTGCGCAGATGGAGAAGCCCCAGGGGAGAGGCAGGACCAGGGGGGCGGCTCTCCCTGGTTGGGCCCTTTCCTTCCCTGTTAATGCACGATACGAATATGACCGGGTGCCCAAACAGCCCCCTCTGCCCACGGCGGTGTCAGCAGGATGAAGCCGTTTGGTGCTGACAGGCGCCCTAGGGCGGGAGGGTGATGGGGCTGGCAGCCCCACGGAGGCAGGAGCATCCGCATCCATGGCCGCTGGGCTCTGCACCCTGCCCTGGACCTTGCACCCTCGCAGCGCCTTGGCTGACTCGGCCAGGGCAGAGCGCGCTGCCTCACACCGGTCCGGGCTCCTCTCACCCCCCAGGTCATTTCTGACTTCGACATGACCCTGAGTAGGTTCGGCTGCAACGGCCGGCGCTGCCCCACCTCGCACAGTGAGTCCGAGCCCTTGGCGCTGCTGCTGTTCGCTTCCCGTGTTTGTGCTCTCGGGCTCTGTGGCTCCCGTTCGCCTCCTCGCACCTCTGCCGAGCCCACCCGCTCCCTCCCCTCTCCTTGGGCAGCCCTGCAGAAGCTGCCCCCCGGCCTTGCTGCTTCTCCTCCTCGCTGTCTCCTCACCAGCGCTGATGCTGCTCTCACAGCGCCTGTGATCGGCACCGTGCCACGCAGGGCTCGCCTTTGGGAAGAGCCGGGGCTGGGGCTGCAGGGCAGCCGCCTCTTGGGAAGCCTTCGGGTGCTGCTGGGCTGCAGCACCGGCTCCTCACTGTCCTTGCAGATATCCTCAACGACAGCCGCGTTATCAGCGAGGACGGCAGGAAGAAGGTGGGTGCCTGCTGCTGCTCGGCGCTGTGGGCTTTGTGCCTATCACCCATCATCAGGAGGCTGCAGGGGTCCTGTGGCAGCTCCCCAGGCTGTGCCCCAGCCACTGCTGATGGAAGGAGAGGTTACGAAGGGAGGTTTTCGTCTGCCTGCTCGCTGTTGCTCAGCCTCTTCAGGCAGGACGTTCACTTCGCTCTTTTCCATCTCTCCACCGCCAGCTAAAGGATCTGCTGCACTATTACTATCCCATAGAAATCGATCCCAACCGCACCCTGGAAGAGAAGCGGCCCCTCATGGTGGAGTGGTGAGTGCTTGGATGGGACGAGCTTCGCCTTGTCCTGGCAGCTGCTTGTGCCTGGGTTCTACAGGACACGGGCTCGAGGTGTCCCTGGGCTCGGTGGCAGCGCCGGGAGCTTTCATTGCCCAAAGGGTGCTTTGGGAAGCTCCTTCCTCTGCCTCTCCCCAGGTGGAGCAGGGTCCATGAGCTCCTGACACAGCAGAACATCCGGAAGGGGGACATAGCCCAGATCGTCAGGGAGTCGGGAGTGATGCTCAGGTACGGGCTGCAGGCACCGGCAGCAGGCAGGGTATGGGGGCAGCTCCCCTCTCCACTGCTGGGCATTATCCAGGCCCTTGGCTCAGCATCAGATGTTACCCACAGCACAAAACCGTTGTGCTAACGCTCACTATTAAAGCTGGCCTTGCTGGTGATGGTCCTAAAACTGGCTTGGCTTGAAGGAGCTGCCAGTCCCAGAGGAGAGATGGCTCCATTCCTCCGGGCTTTCCCGAGCCCAAGTTCTCCTTCTGCATGGAAATCGTGTCCTGGCATTCTGGGGCTGTCACACCGGGGGGAACGGGATACCCTGTAACGGGCACCTCTGCTGCAGGGATGGATTCAAGGAATTGTTTGATCAGCTGCACGAGCACAGCGTGCCCCTGTTCATCTTCTCCGCTGGCGTCGGGGACGTCCTTGAGGAGATCCTCCGTCAGGCCAACGTCTTCCACGCGAACATCAACGTGGTCTCCAACTACATGGACTTTGATGGGGATGTGAGTTCCTGCATCGCGTGCGTGTGGGGATGCGGAGAGGAGGCCCCGGCTGGGACCGAGGGCCCCGATGTGCTTAAAGGCACCGCTAGGTTCAAAGCTGCCTGTTTGATCCCTGTGGATGGAGCTGACTGCTGGGGCCATCTCCTTGTTCCAGGGCTGCTGGGTTTTCCTTGGGGTATCCCGGAGATGAGGGCCGGTGCCCTGGGAGCATCCCCATTCCAGGAAGGGAGCTGTGGCCCATGGAGGGGTTTGTCCTGTTTGCACAGGGAGTCCTCACGTGCTTCAAGGGACCTCTCATCCACACCTACAACAAGAATAACAGCGTCCTGCAGGGCACGGAGTACTTCCAGCAGCTGAGCACCAGGACGAGCATCATCCTGCTGGGGGACTCCATGGGCGACCTGACCATGGCAGACGGCGTTCCCAGCGTGGAGAACATCCTCAAGATTGGCTTCCTCAATGACAAGGTGGGAGTGAGAAGCAGTTCCTTGATCCCCTGTCGTCCTTAAGAGAGCCCTAAAGAGGAGCTGCCCCGGTGACGGGGGGAGCATCATCGCTGTGGTCCCTGACCCCTCTCTGTGGTAGCATCAGGAGGTGCTGTGAGTGCAGCAGCTTCATTCTCAGTCCTCCCTGCTCCATCCCATTGCTGTAGGTGGAAGAGCGGAGGGGGAAGTACCTGGATGCCTACGACATCGTGCTGGAGAGAGACGAGACGCTGGACGTGGCCAACGGGATCCTCCGCTACATCCTTACGGAGACGTGAGCTGGGACGGCTCCGGGTGTCCTGCCCCGGGCAGAGCTGGAGTTGATCTTCTGCTACCTACATCCTGATGCTGGGCTGGCTCCTGCCCCTTTGCACATCCCGACCTCACTCACCCCCTTTGGGCAGCCCTGGAGGTGGAGGAAGCTGCTCCACTGCCTTCACCCCACATTGCCCACATCTGCTGCTTCCCACTCAGACTTCATCCCATTCAGACTGCATATCCCACCCAGACTTCATCCTATTCAGGCTTCATCCCACTTGGACTTCATCCCGTTCAGACTGGGACTTCATCCCATTCAGACTGCATCCCACTTGGACTTCATCCCATTCAGACTGTGTATCCCATTCAGACTTCATCCCATTCAGGCTTCATCCCACTCGGACAACCCCTTTTATGTCTCAGGTAGAGATGCTCCACACTTGCTGCAGTGGTCAAGCATGGAAGTGGAGATCATTTGCTGTAGTCTGAGGACAGATGGAAGTGGTTTAATTTCCTCCCTGTGAAAACGAGTCTCTTCTGTTGTCTCTGGGCTTCCAAGTGCCCGGCTGAGCTCCAGGGGTAGCATCACCCACCCCATGTGCCCCATGGACACCCTGCAGCTCCCGGCCCTGCTGTTCCTCTCGCTCCGTTTCAGCTTTCAGTGCCAGGGCTGCTGCATCTCTGCTCCCAGCTCCAGGTATCCCCATCCCTTATGGAGCCACCGGGCACTGCAGCATCATCCCCCTGTGCTGGAGCATCCCAGGAGGTTTGGTTCCAATCCTGCCTGACCCAGCAGTGCTGGAGCCTGGAACCCCCCTGCATGAGGAATGTTCCATGGCAAAGTAACGTGGCACAAAGCAAACTCCTTGGAAACCAGTAGAGATGATTTATTTGGTGGAAGGCAGCACTCGGTGGAGGAGCTCTCTGGGACCCGTTGCACTCTTCTCTTCTTGCATCCCTTTGACCTGCAAGACACTTTTAGAGGCAGTTTTGGGCTGATTCCTCTCATCCGTGAGGGCTGCTGCTGCAGGGCAGGGAGGATGCAGGCAGGGAGGATGCTGCTCCCTGAGGGCCGTTTCTGGTTTCCTGCTCCCAAAGGCAAACAAGGGCTTTGCCAGCTCCCTGCTGCCTTGGGGGGTGCTGGGTTTTCTGGAGCAGCAAATGCCTGCGGGACCTTGGGGTTTTGCCCTGGGACCTGAGCCCCTTCCAGCCTCTTGTCCCAGAGAGGATGCTGGGGGGAGCAGGGGCTGGAGCATTCAAGGCTCAGCCCCAAACCACACCGCGCTGCTGCAGCAGCGAGGGGCAGCTCCCTCCTGCCTGCCATGGGTGCAGCACATGGAGCAGGACGTGCAGCTACTGGCTGGGGAGGAAGGGGATGGGGATGGGGATGCTGCTGCCCTGTGGGGAGCTGGGAGCAGGGGGGCAGAGTGGGGTTTGGCAGCAGGGAAGGGCTCCAGGGTCTGGCTCCACAGCAGAGGTACCATGTGCAGGGCGCAAGGGGACGGGGATGCGGGCGCTGCTGTCCCCGGGGTGGATGCAGACCCCGTGGGGGTGTTTCCCACCTTCTTGCCTGGGTTTATTTGCTGGGGCTCGGTGTTTTCCTGCCCAAAGGAGCATCCAAAGCCCCTCAGTTAATGGATGGGGGGGGAACCCCCAAATGCTCTCCCCTGGAAGGGCTGGGGAAGGGCAAGGGCAGGTTCCTGGGGAGGGGGGGACCGGCCAGGGCATGGCCAGGACGAGTCCTGTGTGCAGGGAAGAGCAGGAGCTGCTCCTCAGAGCTCCTCGTGGATCTTCTCCTGGTCCTCATCCGACTTCAGCTTCAGCTCCTCGGGGCTGATCCTCCCGTCCTGGTTGCGGTCCTGGTTCCTGAACATGTCGGCGATGACTTTGTCCGGGTCGGAGCCGGGCATGAGCCGCCCCTTCCCTTCCGCCACCTGGCTCTTGATGAAGGTGGAGAACTGCAGCGGGGACAGGGGGAGAAGCTGCTTCGCTCCGCGCACCCGGCTCCCTCCTGCGCGGCCCTGGGTGCCTGGCTCCGGCATCCCTGGGATGCTGCTCCCCGCCGTGGGGTCCCCGGTGTCCTCCTGCACCCATCACCCGGGGGCACTCGGGGCCCTCACTCACCTCCTCAGCCGGGATTTCCCCGTCCTTGTTGAGGTCCATCTGCTCGTAGAGGCCGGCCGGGGGCTCCCCGTGCCAGATGAAGAGGTATCCCTCGGGAACGCCCTCCTCCATGGAGATCAGCTCCACCTCGAAGCGGAGCACGGCGCTGCCCGGCACCCCCCGGGCTGCAAAACCCCACGAAGGATCCCGATGGGCGAAAGCCTCCAGCGCCCATCGGCTGATGGGGGAAAGGACCCCGGCCCCCCCGGCTGCGCGCAGGATGCTCCCTACCTCCGCTCTCGCCGTGTCCCAGGTGGGGGGGGACGATGAGCACCCTCCGCTCCCCTGCGCACATATCCAGGAGGCCCCTGTTCAAGCCCTCGATCACTTTGTTGGTGCCCAGGGTCACTTCCTGCGGCTTCTCGTAGTCGTGGCTGCAGCAGGCACAGAGGAGACCCCTTGGTCCCCGTCCCCTGTGCTCCATCCCGCTGTGTCCCCAAACCACCCCGCTCTGCCCCATGGCCGTGCTGCCGATGCGCCAGTGCTGCCCCACGGCACGGGGCTGCTGCACCGGCGCCTGTCCTCGCCCCAGCCCAGCACCGGCAGGATGCGTCCCAGCACGCACGAGGAGAAGAGCTTGGTGCCGTCCAGCAAGGAGCAGTTGTAGTGGTAGCGGATGAAGTCCCGGGGGCGGGTGGTGAGGTTGCAGCCCTCCGGCCGGTACAAGGTCTCCATCTCCACCGGGTCCTCGGGGTTGTGGAAGTCAACGATGTGGACGTCGAAGATGAGCACGGCTGAGCCGGGAATCTTGTTCCCTGGAAGGGGAGGATGAGGGGAGCTGCGGGAGCCCCGCGGTAAAGCCCTTTCCTGCATCTCCCCATAGCGCATCCATCCCTCGGCACGTGTTGGTGTCAGCCCTTCCCCGGCCCGTGATGGCCCCCACGACACCCAGAGCCCTGGGGATGGTGGTGGTCCCACCTGGTCAGAGCTTTCCCCATGGTGTGGGATGCGCAGGGCTGAAGGAGGGGATGCCGCAGCGCGTGGTGCTGGAGCCGGTGCTTTACCTGCTCCGTTCTCCCCATAGGCCAGGTGTGGGGGGATGACCACGCGCCGCCTCTCCCCCATGCAGACCCCCTGCAGGCCCTGGTCCATGCCGGGGATGATGTAGCCCTTCCCGATGTAGGTGTTGTACGTGTGGTTGCGGGAGTAGCTGCGGGGACAGGAGCAGAGCCTGGGGTGATCTCAGCCCTGCTCCCAAACCCCTTGTCCCGGCCTCTGCCCCGCTCCCCCGGAGCCAAACCCTCCGCAGCAAACAGGGATTGTCCTTTGCAGCCGGTTTTGCGCCCTTCCCACCCTCTCCTCCATCAGTTCTCCAGCTTTTCCATGCTGCTGAGCACGGGGATGGAGAGGGCGGGCTCAGGGACCTCCCCACTTCCCTCCCCACACCTGGAGTCAAAGAGCGTCCCGTCCATCAATGTCCCGTTGTAGTGGTAGCGGACGAAGTCCCCGCTCGCAGCGCGGCGCTTGCAGGGCTCGGGCACCTCGAGGTGCTGCAGGGACACCCCGTCCTTGGGGTTGTGGAAGTCCACCAGCAGCACGCTGAACACCAGCGACGCCTGCGGCGGGATCACGGACCCTGAGGAGGGGACACGGATCAGCCCGCGCCGGGGCCTGGCGCGCAGGGGCGGGAGGGAATGGGGCGATGCCCGACCCACCATAGCCCTTCTCCCCATAGGCGAGGAACGGCGGGATGATGATGCTCCTCTTCTCCCCGGCGCACATGCCCAGCAGCCCCTGGTCCATGCCCTTGATCAGCCAGCCCGTGCCCACGTAGGTGTCGTAGGTGCTGTTCTTGCTGTAGCTGGTGGGGAGGAATAAGAGTGGGGACGGTGCCATGTGGGAAGCTGGTTTGGGATCACGGAGCTGCACCGGCCCTGCCGGGATGCAGGGAGGGAAATCACAGGGGGAGGCTGCTGTGGCCGGGGTGCAGCTTGAGCCCCCATGTCCAGCACCTGCTGGTCCCTGCCCTCCCAGTGCCCCCATCCCCAGGGCAGAGGCTGCATCCACCTGCAGCATCCCGGTGCCCTGTACCTGGAGTCGAAGGGGGTCCCGTCCAGCAGCGTGCCGTTGTAGTGGTAGCGCACGAAGTCCGAGTCCTCCACGGTGCGGTTGCAGTGCAGGGGTCTGGACAAGGAGGTGACCTGCAGCTTGTCCTTCTTGTTCCAGATGTCCAGCATGACCACATCGAAGTACAAGGTGGCGTCTGGGGGGATCAGCCCCGCTAAAGGGGCAGCAGCGAGGACAGAGCAGCTTAGGTCAGGACCCCCGCTCCCAGCAAAGCCTATGCAGCCCCCCCCCAGCCCCACGTACCCACGCCGATGCTGCCGTAGCCGAGGTGGGGGGGCACGATGAGGTGACGCCGCTCGTTGACGCACATGCCCTGCAGCCCCCGGTCCATGCCCGTGATGAGGCGCCCGACACCCACCACGCCGGCCACCGTGGCCCCTCGGTCGTAGCTGGGTGAAGGGGCAGAGCCGTCAGGGGTGCGGGATGGGGGGAAGCCCCCGATGCTGCTGGTGCTGGGGGAGCCGAGTGCTCAGCACCCAGGGTTTTGGGGTGCATCAGGACCCCAACCATGCGAACACAGGGCAGCCTCGCGGTGGGTCCCTGCGCTGCTGCAGAGCCCGCAGCCCAAAACCATTGATGCTGATGGGCTCAATCCTGCACTGCCTGTGGTGGAGCTGCATCCTGACCTGCACACCCAGCGCCCTGCAGGCAGGGGAGTGCAGATGGGACCCTCTGGGTGCAAAGGACATGGGTGATGCTTCCCATTGGTACCCAACTCTTCGACACCATCCTCATCCATGGAGCTGGATGCTGCAGCTCCAGGGCTTTCTGCCGCTTCCAAACCCTTTGCATACAGCATGTTTGGAGCTCTATGGAGCAAGGAGGGAAGGAAAGAGCCCAGGCCTCATCCTTCCATTGCAAATCCGGCTTTATTTGTAAACCTGACAATACTGCAAGAAGCAACTGGGGCCGTTTAGGATAAAGTGAACCCTCCGTCCCCTCCCATGTGCAGCTCATGCTGCCACCCTGCAGTCAAGACAAGGAGTTCCTTTAGCAGGGAATGTCCCCAGGCTCCCAATGCATGTGGGGTGTGCACAGCAGAAGGTGAATCTCATCACCCAGTTACTTTCTCCCCCGTTCATGCTCCCACTAAAGACACATTAAACCGGAGCAGCATCCCTTTGCTTTCCTCTTAAACGTGTCTGTGTGGAAAGCTTTTGCTCCTGCACCCTCTGTCTCTGCCCTTTGGTTGTGTCCCTCACTCTCCCCTTGCTCCCGGTGCTGCAGAGCAGGGACTGCCCCGACACAAACTGCTCGCAGCCACTGGGAGCAGAGCAGGATCGGTGCCCAGGCTGAGGAAAACCAAGTCCGGCCAGAGCAAAGCCTCTTAGGTAATGAACGGGTTTCACTGCTGCCACGTTTCAAAGGGCTTCCAGTGCTTCCCTGCCCCTGCACATGCAAATACATGTCCTGAGCGCAAAACGCCTCCCTCAGGGACAGATCCTGCCCGTGCCTGGGGCTGAGGGCGTGCAGGCACCGATGGGCAGGGGCTGCTGCTTCATGGGGCCCTCGCCCCCAGCACCCACCAAAAGCCTTCCTTGGGGTCCAAGCATGGGGCTGCCCCGGAGCCTGTCCCTCCCCTGCTGCCCCTTGGGGACGCAAGGCATGCAGGGGTCCCCCCCGGCACCGCATGCAGTGGTGAGGAGCCGAGGGCTGTACCTGGAGTCAAACTTTTGGCCATCTTTAAAGGTCCCATTGTAGTGGTAGCGAATGAAATCCCCCATCTGGGCCTCCCGCAGGCAGATTTTGGGGATGTAGTATCTGTCTATCACCACGTCTTCCAGCGGGCCGGGGTCGCCCAGCCCCGGCGCCCCCAGGATGCTGAGGAGGAGGAGGAGGAGGAGGAGGAGGAAGACGCTGCCGGGGGCCATGGCGCTGGGAGGCTGCAGCCGGCGGAAAGGCAGCGGGAGGCGGAGGGACGGGGCCTGCTCAGCTCGGCCGCCCCTTCCCGTGGGATTCCTGCCCGGAATTTCTGTACACGTGTCCGGGCCTGCCGCTTCCTCAGCCACGATCCCAACGCCAGTCCCGTCCCCCCCCACACCACGGCACCACCGGGGCGATGCCACAAGCGGGCAGCGCTGGGAAGCCCCAGGGGAAGCTCCAGGGCAGCTCCCGCAGGACGGGGTCGGGGTGAGGGTTTTCTTTTTCCTCTCCTTTTTGTGTTTTCCTTTCTTTTCCGCAAAGGAAGAGCCCAGCGGGAGCTGCTTGGAAGCGAGTTTGTGCCGGGTCCTAGCGCTGCTGCCTCTTCCCGCTGGAGCCATCGCTCCCTCAGCTCCGGATGCTGCTGCTCAGTCCCCTGGCAGAGGGAATCCGAGGGATTCAGTGTTTCAGTAACACCTCCTACTCCTCAATCTGCTTTTATTGGGTGCTGATGGTTAAAAATACCCCCCCAAAAGCCTTTCCCAGATAGCAGCAGCACCAAATGCACCCGTACGTGTTGCCCCTGCATCCCCACCTCCCCAAACCGTGATGGGCACCGTGATAAGAGCCCTTGGCAAGTCCCAGATGGGAATTCAAGACAACCCGAACCAAAACCCGGGTTCTCCGAGGGGCAGCGCCCCGGGTGAGGACAAAACCTCAAGCACCCCCCTGGAGCCGGGGCTCAGGGTGCACGCAGCGCCCGGCCTGCATCCTGTGGAGCTTGCGGGAGCAGGAAGAAGCCTCAGCAGTGTCCTGGCTCCTGCCCCACGCTGTGACATCCCTCAGTGCCACTGGCCAGCCGGCAGCAAGGCGCTGGGCTTGGGCTGCGGCCAGCGTGGCCATGCCAAGGCTGGCTTGGGGCAGTGCTAGGGGCTGGCACGGCACCGGCTCTGTGGCCACCAGCTTGGCACCAGCCACCAGCGCTGGGATGGGGCCACTGCACGGGTTTGGCACAGCCCAGCACCCCGGGGTCCAGCGCAGGGTGCGGGATGCTCTGAGCTGCAGCACAGGGCACACGCAGCACATCCCGCTCCACAGGGCAGCGCCGAGCACATCGCCGGGGTCCTGCAGCCCCGGAGCCCGCAGTGCGGGGCGCAGAGTGACCCCCTTCACCCCGCGACAGCGCGGGGTGCGGGAGGGAACACACGGGAGCCGCGCAGCACCGAGCACGCCCCGTGTTGCGCTGCGCCGGCCGCGCAGAGCCGCACTAAGACCCTGCGCGCCCGCCGCGCACCGCCCCTTCCCCGCCGCCCGCCCCCCTGCGCGGAGCGGTGCGCGGCGCTGCGCGGGCAGTGCGCGGCGGCGGAGGCGGCGGGGATGGGCGGCGCGGCGCTGGCGCTGCTGCTGCTGCTGCTGGTGGCGGCGGGGGGGCCGTGCGCGGCGCAGTACGAGGAGTACAGCGTGCGCGGGTTCCCCGCGGACGCGCTGGAGCCGCTGCAGCGAGCCTACGCGCGGGCGCTGGAGCAGTACGCGGGCGCGCAGTGGGCTGAGAGCGCCCGGGAGCTGGAGGCGAGCCTGCGCCTGCACCGGCTGCTGCGCGACAGCGAAGCTCATTGCCACCGGCGCTGCGCGGAGCCGGGCCCCGCCGAGGAGCCCCCCGCCGATGGGGACCCCGCGGGCCGGGAGTGGGAGCGGGAGATGCAGCTCTTCGGGCAGCTGCTGCGCCGCGCAGGCTGCCTGCGCGCCTGCAAGCGCGACCTGCCCGTGTTCCAGCTGCGCTACCCGCCCGCGCAGACGCTGCGCGACTTCCAGCGCCGCCTGCCCTACCAGTACCTGCACTACGCGCTCTTCAAGGTGAGCCGGGGGCGCGCAAATGCCGCGCAATGCGGCTGGTGGGAAGAAGGAGGAAGTGGTGGTGGGGGATGTTCCTGTGCCTCCATCCTGCACTGCCCTGGTCTGTGCCTCCTCTTTTACCCTTCACCCTGCATCCCCCCAGCTCTGCACACTCATCCTGCACCCCTTGTCCTCCTCTTTGACACCCCCATCCTGCATTCCCCACCCTTCACTCCCAGCCCGCACCCCCTGAACCCCGTTCCCTTCTATCCTGCACCCTGCTGTCATTTGCTTTCCTGTCCTGCACCCCCCACCTGGCATCCCCCCCTTGGCTCCTCCATCCTGCCCCTGTGCCACGGCACGTCAGCATCATCTGGGATGCATCAGGATGTGAGTGGAGTGCCTGGGACTGGGCCCCTGTGGTTGCATCCCCCCATTCCACCTTGTGTCCCCCTGGTCCCCCGGCGTCCCCCTGGCCAAGCAGCCTGAGCTGGCAGGACCAGAGCCACTGTGGTTGCTGCAGGACGTGTCTGGATGCCTCAGCAGGGAGAAGCCCTTGCCTGGGCTCACGGTGCAGACATGGAGGGAGGTTTTGGATGCAGCTGCCCAAGCTCTCTGGTGGGGGCCTCTCCCCTCCCCAGGCACGGTGCTGAGCTGTGGATGCTGGTTTAATGCTCAGTGCTGGCAGGGGCAGGGGACAGCCTGGCCTAGATTCTTAATGCCTTTTCCTCTTGCTCGCTCTGGCCCAAACCCATCTCATTGATGGCTCCTTCGCCCCCCCAAGTCTCACTCCCCTGAAGCTGCCATCCCAGTGCTCGTAAAGCAGGAGGCTCTCCCGGGATGCATGGATCCAACCCGCACCACGTGGATGTGGGGTTCCTGAGGGGTTGACCTGTCCCCACCCTGCCTCTTCCCCCTTCCCCAGTCAAATAAGCTCGAGAAGGCCGTGTCCGCTGCCCACACCTTCCTGCAGAAGAACCCCAAGCACGAGATGACCTTGAGGTACCTGAACTATTACAGGACGATGCTGGATGTGGATGAATACCTGGTGGACCTGGAGGCTCAGCCCTACGAGGTGAGGAGGGCCATGGGGTTAGGGCTGGGGCTGCTGGGGCTGCCAACGCCTGGTCCTGCCAAGCCCTTTGGGAGCATCCTGAGCCCCGGTCCCTGACCTCCCGCAGCCGACATTCGTGCGGTCGGTGAAGCTCTACAACAACGGCGACTTCCGGAGCAGCGCGGCCGACATGGAGCAGGCGCTGGCTCAGTACTACCGGGCGTACGAGGACTGCCTGGCCGGCTGCGAGGGAGCCTACGAGCTGCAGGACTTCAAGGACTTCTACCCTGCTATTGCAGGTGACTCGCTATGGGGCAGGGGAACAGCGCGTTGGGACCGGGGTGGGGGGGCAATGGGGTGCAGAATGTGATGCTTCACACCCCACACCCCCCCAGACCACTTTGTGAGCGTGCTGCAGTGCAAGGTGGACTGCGAGACCGAGCTCACCCCCAATGTGGGGGGCTACTTCGTGGAGAAGTTTGTGGCCACCATGTACCACTACCTGCAGTTCGCCTACTACAAGTGTGAGTGATGGCGGGGAGGACGGGGCAGCCCCAGGGTGCTGCGGGTCCCTGGGCTGGGTGTCACCGGCTCTGGGCGCTGCTCCCCACAGTGAACGACGTGCAGGATGCGGTGCGCAGCGTCGCCAGCTACATGCTCTTCGACCCGGGGGACACCGTGATGCAGCAGAACCTGGTCTATTACCGCTTCCACCGCGAGCGCTGGCGCCTGCGTGAGGAGGACTTCGAGCCACGGCCGGTGAGGATCCCCCCCCCACAATCCCGAGCCCCATGTCCCATGGCTCCGGTGGGGACGAAGGGGCTGATCCAGGCCTCGCTCCACCCTGTGCCCAGGAAGCCGTGCACTACCACAACCAGACGGCCACGCAGAAGATGATGCTGGACTTCGCCAGGCAGTACCTGCAGGCTGATGATGAGGTAAACGATGGCCACGCTTTGGGGTGCGAGTGGGTGCTGTGGGTACCCCTGGGGAGGGCTTTTACTCAGGTGGGGGGGGGCTGATCCAATGCCTCCCCCTGCCCACCCCACGTTGCAGATGGAGGTGGATGGGGATGAGGGGCTGGAGGTGCGGGACCTGCCCTCTGATGGTGAGTTCGAGGGTGAAGGTGACTACGAGGAGGGCTTCTTCGCCGAGTGGTGGCAGGAGCCCAGGACCAAAGGGGACAAAGCTGACCAAGGTTTGTGATGCTGGGACAAGGGGCCGCACCATGGGGCAGGGGTGCCTGCTCCCTGGTGCCACCGAGCCCTCCATGTTTGCAGAGACCCTGTCGTGAGCCAGGCGAAGGGGCACGGCCCTGGCAGAGCTGGGTGGTGCTGGTGGCCCTGGGCTCCTGACGGCCCCGCCGCGGAAACCTTGGGCTTGCAGGGAAGGGCTGATCCTGCCCAGAGCCCTGCGGCAGCGCTGCCTCTGCTGCCCCGGCATCCCTGTGCTGAGCGCAGCCCCATGCCTGTCAATGGAGCATCGGCACCGCTGAACCTTCCTGCCTGCCCACGAGCTCCCCCCGGGGCCACCCTTGTCCCCAGGAGCCTGATGGTGCCCCACAGCACCGGGTCACTGTGTCCATCAGCTCCTTCCCAGGGCCTGGGGACACTGCTCCATGTTGTCTCAAGGGGCTGCCCTGCTCCGGAAGCAATGCACGGGGCTGCCCCATCCCAGGGCTCCTTCCAGGGTCCCTTTGGACCCCATGTCCCAGTGATGGGATGGGGATCCCGGTATGCTGGCGTCCCCATGGTGCCTGGCGAGGCCGCATCGCCCATGCCCTGTGTGTGCCTTGAGTTCTCCCCCCACCAGCCCTCTGTAGCCTCAAGCTCCGTTAATTTAATACTTCCTGACCTGCACGGGTGCTTTTTAGTCCTAAATATTTACTTTTAATAAAGTCCGGACCAGTCTTTTCATGGCTGCCTCCGCCTGGGGACTCCCTGGGACTGGGCTATCCTATGGGCCGGGACGGGTTGGGGGACTGGATGCCCCCATCGAGTAGGGGAGACCCCACAGGGAGCCTTGGGGGCCATGGGAGCCTCTTGTGGGGCTTGGGAGGGTCCTGACCACATGATGGGAACAGTGAATGGGGCTGGGGGGGGCTGCAGGGGGGCAGGATGGGTGCCTGGGGGTGATGTGCATCACCTGCTGCTTGGTTTGGGGTTGCATCACCCCGACACCGGTCACTGGGGGTGCCTGGTGCTGCGGCTGGCCCGGAGGGTGCAGCGTGGCCCCTGCCTCTGTCCCAGGGTGCCTGGGGGGGGGATGCCCCCCTCCCGCCGGGCGGTTTGGAGCCTGTTTCGGGGCCGCTCCAGGGGCTGCGGGCCCGTGCGTGCCCCGGGCACGGGGCACAGGGCAGCACCGGGGCGCGTTCCTGCTCCCATGGAAGCTGTTGGCTGCGAGGACTGAAACCGAGAGGGTGAATCACGGCGTTGGCCCCGGGGCAGGGCAGGGCAGGGAAGGGAATGGAATGGAAGGAAGGGGGTGGCGGGGAGGCTGCCAGGACCCGCCCTGCCCGGCCCCGCAGCTCCCATTTCCCAGGGCTTTCCCAGCTCCGCGCTGGGAGCAGGGATGGGGCTGAGCCCCCAGACCCACTGCAGGGCTCGGGGCTCGGGACAGCGCTGGCGGGGGGCAGCCCCTTGCCCCCTGCGCAGGGCAGGGCTGTGCCTGGACGGGGAGGATCGGGGTTCGTCACCCATGGGAGTGGAGCTGGGGCTCGGCCCAGGGGCCAAAGGCTCGATGCTCCCAACCGGCCTCCGCCCTGCTCTGACGCGCTCCTGGGCACCGTGGCCCTCGGCTCACGTTGTGGGACACGGTTCCTTGCTCCTGCTCCTCTGCTGGCACTGGGTGAAGCCGCTCAGAGTCCCAGGCCGGCTGTCCTGGGTCCCCTTCCTGCTCCCCCCTGCACCACTGGGGCCAGCGCTCCCGGTAGCGCCCTGCAACTGGTGTGACCCAGCAGTGGTTGAGCTGTGGTCACAGTCACCGTTCCCCATGGAGTGCAGGGGCATGAGCAGGGGATGGAGGTGGGATGCAGGGCCTGCAGTGTACTGGGTTATACTGGAGGGCTACTGAGCCTGCAGTGTGCTGGGTTATACTGGAGGGCTACTGAGCCTGCAGTGTGCTGGGTTATACTGGAGGGCTACTGAGCCTGCAGTGTGCTGGGTTATACTGGAGGGATACTGAGCCTGCAGTGTGCTGGGTTATACTGGAGGGATACTGAGCCTGCAGTGTGCTGGGTTATACTGGAGGGCTACTGAGCCTACAGTGTGCTGGGTTATACTGGAGGGCTACTGAGCCTACAGTGTACTGGGTTATACTGGAGGGATACTGAGCCTGCAGTACTCCATGGGTTAGCACCATACAGGCAGCACTGAGCTTCCCTGACTCCCCTGACCTTGGCCAAGGAGGAACATGAGCGTTTTGGCTGTCATCTTGGCATGCCATGCTGTGTGCTGTGCTGTGCCATGCCATGCTGTGTGCTGTGCCATGCCATGCTGTGTGCTGTGCTGTGCCATGCCACGCTGTGTGTTGTGCCATGCTGTGTGCTGTGCCATGCCATGCTGTGTGCTGTGCCATGCTGTGTGCTGTGCCATGCCATGCTGTGTGCTGTGCCATGCTGTGTGCTGTGCCATGCTGTGTGCTGTGCCATGCCATGCTGTGTGCTGTGCCATGCCATGCTGTGTGTTGTGCCATGCCATGCTGTGTGTTGTGCCATGCCATGCTGTGTGTTGTGCCATGCTGTGTGCTGTGCCGTGCCATGCTGTTTGCTGTGCCGTGCCATGCTGTGTGCTGTGCCACTTTCCTCCCCGTGCTGGAAGGGTTCTCGCTGTGCCCTGGCTCCCCAGCTCCACACACAGGGATGAGATCCCAGCTCCTTGCAGGGGTGGTGGAAGCTCCGTCTCTCACCTCCCTTCAGAGCTGCTATTTCCCAACTGAGTCAGCGCTGGCAGGCAGCTGCGGCACAGACCCGCGCAGGGCTGGTGCTGGGGGTGCAGGATGCGTCCCCAGCTCTGGGGGGGCTGGCGGCTGGACGATCCCCACCATGGGCTGGGCCCTGCCCTGGTGCTGAGCCCTCACTCCTGACTCGGTGACGAGGCTTCGCCTGGGGCCGGCGCGGAGCCGGGTGAGCCGGGACGCGGCAGCAGCACCCGGCTGGACCAGTCTGGCCAGGGCCGGGTGACGCAGGGCGCTGTCACCGCCCCAGCCCTTCCCCAGCGCCTCTCGCTGCCCCTGCCCGGCTCCGGCCTCGGGTTCCCTCCGCGGGGAACGGGCCCTGCTCCGTTGTTAACCCACCCGGGCACGCAGCGCTGCCACCGCCACGCCTGGGGCAGGGGTGCCCGCATGGCGCCACCATGGCCTGGCTGCACCGGGGGACCCCAGGGGGGGCCGCGGGGCTGAGCCGGACCCTGACCACGGCCCTGCCCGCTCGGAGCCCTCAGGGCGATGCTGGAGCCTTGGGGGGACCTGGGGGGGGATCCCCGCACATGGGGGTCCCCGCGCTCCCCCCCCCGGCACGTGCCTCGCCGCGCCCGGTGACGTCACCCAGGTGATTCCCGCCCCGCTGCCCAATCACCTGCCGGCCACAGGCGGGGCGGCCGCGCCCCCGCCAATAGGGAGCGGATAAACACGTCCGGCGGGGGGGCGTGGCCAGGAGGCTGCCGCTGTTGACGGGCGTGTCGGGTGTCCAATAGGAACGCGGAAACTCCATGAGGGGCGGGTCTTGGGGCGGGGCGAGGCAGGGCGGGGCGGGGCGGGGCTGGCGCGGGCGCTGCTCGGCTTTTGTTCGGGCCGGAGCGGGGCGGGCGGCAGAGCTCGCGCAGGGGTTGCGCGCGCGCAGGTGAGAGGGGATCGGGATCGGGATCGGGATCGGGATCGGGATCGGGATCGGGATCGGGACCGGGACCGGGATCGGGATCGGGATCGGGATCGGGACCGGGATCGGGATCGGGACCGGGATCGGGATCGGGACCGGGACCGGGAAACACCGGGGGGAGGACGGGACCGGGCAGTGCCGGGGTTGTCCCGGGCCGGTTCCGCCGTGCGGGGCCGGAGGAGGAGCCGGGTCGGGGGTCGCGGCTCGGTCCCGGTGTCCGGGGCAGGTCCGTCGGTGCCACCCCCCCCCCAACCCCTCCGCAGCAGCGGAGCCCCGAGTTCCGCCGGTCCCGTGTGCGTGCGGCCGGGGAGGGCGCAGCCTGCGCGGATCCGGTCGGGCGGGTCCCTGGGGCGAGGCCCCGCGGGCGCTGTCCCGGGCCCCGCTCCCCGGTGGCGGCCGCGCTGCCGGGTCCGCCCCGGAGCCCTGCGGTGCCCGGCGCTGCCCGAGGGCTTGGGGGGGGGGGGCTTCGGTGGCCCGGGATCAGCGCGGCCCAGAGGGGGGTCCCGGTGGAGCCCTCCAGGGTGAGCCCGCGGCGGTGGGAGAGGAGCGCGCCCGCTCCTCGCTTTGGCTTCGTGAATCGGGTTCGCAGAGGAAGGGGCAACGGTGAAAGGCGCTGGGAGCTGCCCGGTGCAGGCTGCGAGCAGCTTGGACGTCGGTGCCGGGAGAGGAGGGAGAGCCCTTGCCGAGAGGCCTCGGTCCTGTGTTGGCGTTGTCCCCGCACGGGTGGGAAGGTGGCGGCTGCCCTCAGTCTCACTTAGGCCACAGCGTTTCCCTTCCTTAGCGCCTCGGGCAAGCCCCGTGGCTTTGGTGACCGTTCCCTGCCACCATCCCCGTGTGGAGGGGACCATGACCCAGCTGGCTTCGTCCCCAGCAGCCGCCGCACCTCCTGCTCCAGCCCGCACCGTCCTGGCTTCGGCGCCCGCTGCTCTCGGCGCCTTCTGCCGTGGGGCTGGCTGGTGCCGGGGGCAAAGCGTCTTCACACACCCCACACCCCCCCCGGGTACCGCGGGGCTGGAGCGGGGCCGGGAGCTGTCACCGCAGCCGGGGCGCCCAAGGCTCCGCTCCTGGCCCCGCACTCGGGTCCGGCCCAGCCGGTAACGGGGCCGGGGAGGCTTTGGGGTCCCTTTTGGTGTCCTTGGGGGTGCTGTGTCAATGTCACCCGGGCGGTGCGCTGGGCACCCCATGGAACTGGCTCCGCACATCTGAAGCCTGTAATCGCTCATCGCTTTGGAGGCTTTCTGTAAAGTCTCATGAAAACCCCATTTTACTGCTGATTTGGCTCAAAGTTGGCTGTCTGGGTAGGAATGGACAAGGCTCCCGGCGCCAGTGGCCAAGGGGTGGTTTCCCCTCCTCAGGGGTCGGCTCCTGGGGGTGATGTGGGTCCCCAGCACTCGGGGGTGCTAATGGGGTGCTGTGGGAAGGTGGGGCTGCCACGGCAGGGCCCTGGCTTCCAGACAATGGCGTTCTCAGCCTAT